TTGCAATCAAACGCCTTTTATTTTTGAACCGAATAACCTGCGCAATCAAAACAGAAACCTAAAACACAACTTTCCCTTGGTCACCAACATGAATCCATATTCATGTGACATTTTTCACATCAAGGGTGAGGTAGAGGAGGGTTAAAAAAACCTTCTTTTACAACCATCAATTTTCTTTCGGCTAGCGGGGGTCAATGGACACAGAAGCACATTTCTTCATTGCTGTTTTTGATCCTCAGTGACCTGGCACGTCTTTTGGGGTTCCAGTGTTTGCTGTCCGGAATTCTGCAGCAGCTGTGGACGAGTAGGCTGGAGAGGCTCCCACTTGTCACAGCATTGTTGCTGGACACATAGCTGAAATTAGAAGATGGTTGTTGAACGTAGAGGGTTTCGTAGCCGATGGACTCAGAGTGCACTTGCAGACCATGACAGTGATGATGGCAGGGGACAGGTTTTTGACCTTTACCGTAGTTGGGAAGCAGTGGAACCTCATGACACTGAAAACCCTTTCGGTGATCTTAGTGAGACTTGCAATTTTGACCCAAATGATGGAGAGTTGCCTGATCATCCTGAAGAAGCTTCGCAGGTGCCTCAGTTTTTGCGGCCTAAACCAAAAGTTGCTCCATCGAAACCAGTAACGTTGTGCAAGGAGAGTGTTGCAGTTAAACGTACAGCCGACGAAATGGCATCAAGACATGTTCACAAGATGACGGCAGACCTGAAGCAGCCATGGCAACTTGGCCCGCTGTCAAGTCTTTTCAGTAGGCCAAAACCGCTGTGGGAAAGGTTGCAGGCGTCACAAAAAATGCCCATGGTTGGACTCTCAGACCACATTAATGCAAGCTCTGCCAACAGCTCCATTCCATTTCAAATCCAACAGACAGAGATCACTGTGCGTCGCATCAGATCTTCGCGGTTGGTGACGTCCTCTGACAATTTTAGGCATGTTGCTCTATCCAGGTTCAAGACCATGGTCCTCTTAGATCTCAGTTGTACGCGGCTTGGAAGGTCGTTGACCAGCTTTGCAGGTACCCTTTGCTCAGACGAAGAACTGGCGCAGGTCTTCATGGACGTCTTCTCACCGAAGGCAACTGGGACAATTCTGAAGAGGTGCAACGCATTGTGGCGTTTCTCTTGCTGGATTCAGTCTAGAGGGGGAGGTTCACCTTTCAATCAAGACGAGTGCACAATTTACTCTTATGTTTGTTACCTGAGAGACTCTGGCGCTGGTGCAACAACTCCATCGCAGTTTGTGGAGTCCTTGAGGTTTGCAGACGCCTTGATCGGGTTTGTGCTGACCCCATTGAAGGATCTCCTCAGCCCAAGAGTAACAGGCGCTGCACATGCCTTTTACATGACCAAGAGGATTCGGAAGCCCGCCGAAGTTCTGACAGTACGAGAGATTGGTGCCCTTGAAGACGTTTGTTTGCATGACCCAGAATTGCATCGACGGTTGATTGCAGGACATTTGATTTTCTGTTTTGCAGCAGCTGCGAGGTGGCACGATTCCATGTATGTTGTGGCACTTGACCTTTCAACGGCTGGTCCCATCACACTTCTTGAGGCTCTGACGACGAAACACAAGTCTTCACGTGGCAAGGAGCAACAAATGGAATTGCTGCCTTTTACGGCGCTGGGGCATGTGATCAGAGAGGAGTCATGGGGTGCCGAATGGATGCAATCGAGACAAGATTCTGATGTGTCAACATGGGATCATTTTTTGCAGTCCTGGTCGGAAAGCACACATGACTGGGTAAACTCAAGGATGTCAACGGCTGAGGCGACAGGTTGGTTGCGCGAGTTGCTCGAACCGATCGTCGGCAGTGGAAGGGCCTCAAGGCTAACCATCCACGGCTTGAAAGCTACCCTGCTGAGTTGGGCTGCAAAGAGCACTTTGTTCACCGCAGATGAGCAGTTGGCGCTTGGGCACCATGTTAGCGCTCAATATAGGTCGGCCATGATCTACTCACGCGACAATCAGATCAGTCTTTGCAAAAAGGTGCACGACATGTTTTCGAAGATCAGAGAAGGATCCTTCGACCCAGATGGCACCCGAGTCAGCAGACTTTTTCAATTGGCATTTGACACAGCTTTGGAAATGGAGGGTGACAGTGCGGAGAGTTCCAGTGACTCAGAGGATGTTTCTTCAGTGGCCTCTTCAGGAGGTGAGCATCGCAGCCTGGATCAAAAGAGCACATACAGACGATTGGAGGCTGATGACATGGAAGCTGACCTTTGCTTGATCAACCAGAACTCGAAGGTCATTCATTTGCTGGTTAGTGAAGATGAGAAGTTTTGGTGTGGCAGGAACCCTTCCTCGTCCTTCAAGAGAGCCTCCAAGGAAGACTTGTCAACTCCAGAAGCTGTTGTGTGCGCCAGTTGTTCTCATGCTTACCGAGCGGCACAGCGCGATTCACGAGCTGGCACTTGAAACTGATTTCGGAGTCGTCAACGCACTTGTGACGTTGTTGTGTGCAAAGCATCCAGTTTAAGCATTTCGCTGCGCGTGGCATAAAACGATGTGGTAGAACACCTTGGAACCAGTGTTGCGTAGCTCATGAGAATTTCACGTCATGCGGGTTGTATCAACGATTTCTCATTTGAAGCGTCAAACATGTTGAATGCCATTGGGAATCACGCAAGTCATGAGGGCATGTGACACTTGGTAACCCAATGCCTAGCATGGGTGCATGCGGCAGAGGTTCCTAGGCCAAGTGACAGGTGCTCAGTCAACTTCGTGATGCACTCCCGCTGGCTCAACAGCGATCACTTCAAAATGAGATCAAGCAACCTGTCATGTGAATTCCTCTCAACATGCAACCACTAGGCCCCCGTGAGGTTCCCGGTTCATAATAAACTACCCCACTAAACCTTTGCACTTAGTCCTCTGAAATAGCTCCTAATCACTTAAACCTAGAGTCGGATTGCAAGGTCCCTTTTAGACTCACGTCGACGCCGCAAAAATCATGGCGATTGACTCGAAGGTGGCTTTTCAGAATCGTGCGGTGGAACTGGGAATTGAACAGGCTGAAATTGATGCTCTTGACGATGCTGGAATCCATAGTTACGCAACTTATGCATATTGCAGCACTTATCAGCCGGGACAAAATGATGACACAGCATTGATTGCTTTCTTGACTACAACGTTGGGCACTGCGCCTTCAGCTGCAGCGACAACACGTTTCAGGAGATTGTTCTTTGAGGCACATGCATTGTCCTTGGAAGATTTGAAGTCGAGAGCTGACAGGTCAGAGTCAAGTGAGGCCAGAATAATCCCCCTTGCAGAGAAGATGGACAGGATCCGACAACAGAAGGATCGTTTGAATGGCTTGAGCTTCACGCCTCAGAGTGAACCGTCACATGCACTCATCGACAAGGTTTGCCAGCAGCTCGAAGATAACGTAATCACCTACATAGAGTTGAATCGTTGCACTTCCAGACAGGATGAAGCACTGCACTCCAAGATGGATACAGCATTGGCCCTGGACAACTCTGGAAGTCTGCGGCTCAGCAAGAAGCAACGTTTAGATGATGTAAATGTCACAGGCACAAGCTGCGACAAGCCTTCCTGCGGAGATCCTTAGCTTATGACCTGTCGGGGATTGCAACCTTTGCTGTGCTGGACTTGTGGACGCAGAAACTTTTTGAAAAGATGAACGAGGCGCCTCTGTCAAACTACAAGCACATCAGTGTTGAGCAGGTGATCAACGCAGACAAGGCGCTTTGGGTCAAGGTATCAAATGACACACGTGGCAAGCTGCAGCCCAAGACTGGGACTGATAAACCTTTTGACGTGGCTTTCACAAAACTTTCGGATCATCCAGAAGTCCTTCAGCACCTGACGCCGCTACAGAGCGTTGGCCAACACAGATCAGAGACCTACCTCTCAGGCTCCCTTCTCTAGCGGAAAGGGAAAAGGAGGCCAGCAGAGCGACAGCAAAGGAAAATCGTCAAAGGGCAAAGGCAAGCCTGGCACGGGCATCACAGTTCCTGATGACTGCGAGATTTTTGTGGACGGCAAGCAGCTGTGCAAGCGTTGGCAGATTGGGCGTTGCACGGCAAAAGTGAAGCCTGGAAAGCGATGCATGGTGGGCTATCATATGTGTTGGAAGAAAAATTGCCATAAACTTCACCCGGGCAATGAGTGCCCGCACTGACTTGGAACAATGCCATGCGACAACAGTCTCACCCATGCGATGCCACGCGATACAAGTTTCACCCTGGAAGCCACCACCTTTGAGATATGTTGTGGCTCAGCCGGGCTGTCAGACGCTTTAAGGCGTCTTGGCTTCCAAGTTTACCCAGTGGACCATTCAGCCAACAGACATTCACCAAAGGCCAAGGTCTTTGTATTGGATGTGTCGAATTCAGAACAGTTGGTGCTACTTGAATCCATGTTGCACCACTGCAGGCCGTGTCACGTCCATTTAGGATTACCATGTGGGACCTGCTCAAGAGCCAGAGAAAGGCCAATGCCATCGAAGCTTGGAGGGCACATGGGGCCCCAGCCACTCAGAAGCGCTGAACACCTTTTGGGATTCCCTACACTTTCTGGGGCGGATGAAACAAAGGTGCGATTAGCCAACCAGCTGTACAGGGCTGCCATTCGCATTTTGCAAATTTGCATGTTGCTAGGCTGCTTGGTTTCAATCGAAAATCCTGCACGATCATGGCTTTGGGCACTGCTGGCAGTTTTAGTCAAAGAGACCGGCAACCTTCAGTTTATTTCATGGTTTTCTGAGTTGGAAAGTGTGTATTTTCGAGCCTGCGCTCACGGAAGCCTCCGAGATAAGCGAACGAAGTTGCTGGCTACACCCGGTGCCTTTACTACCCTGGCAGCAGATTGCCCTGGAAACCATAAACATGCATCATGGCAACCATACAGAGGTGAACATGGCGTCGTTTTCCCAACAGCAGCCGAGGCAGAATACCCCAACATCCTGTGCAAGCGCATGGCACAGTGCGTTTTAGACCAAGTTGCATCGAGAGGGATCAAACCAATGCCTTCAAAAAGGCTGAAAGACTTGTTGAGGTTGGGATTAGGTAGTCAAAGCATTAAACATCCACCACTGGTACCCGAATACAAGGACTTCATACATCTTGATGAAGCCACTCCTAACCCAGCCTACAAGTTGCTCGCTGCTCCACCTCAACAGGGGCCCAATGACACTGAGCAGCAGGAACCAGAAGAAGCGCCAAACAAAAGACCGAGGACAACCTTCAAATACGGAGTTTGGCACGAACCTGAAGAGTTTTTGCAAAAGGCTGCTGATGCGAAACATCCCATAGATCAAGATTCCTTTTTGCACCAGATCACGAAGGAGGCAATTGCACAGGTAGTAGGTACATGCCCCACAAAGATGGCCAAAGAGCGGTTATCCACAGTTTTTCATGTCAGAAAGATGGCAACAAGCCTCAAAAGCCTGGAGGTCGATCTCAAGGCAGACATGCACCCTGACGTGAGCAGATGCGTCCGCAGCAAGAACATCTTGTTGTTTGAGAAGCTTCTGCATCAACTGGATTTTTGGGACATGGATGCAGTGAACCTTTTGAAATTTGGCGTGCCCATTGTTGGAATGCAAGAGCCCCCCAAGGGATACCAGCAGCTTTTGCTGCCGGCGAGCATAACAGAGGATGAACTGATCCAATCAGCTAAGTGGAGAAGAGATAGCCTGATGAAAGCGACGCGCGCTCTGTCAAAGTCAGAAGAAGACGCACTGACCGAAGCTACGGCCATGGAAGTGGACAAGGGCTTCCTCCAAGGTCCCTGCACGGAAGAAGAAATGTCCGTTCTCATGGGGACAGATGGCTGGTCCCTCAACCCTCGCTTCGTGTTATTCCAAGGGTCCAGCCAGAAGGTGCGAGTAATCGATGACGCGAAGCAGAGCGCCGTTAATGCAGCATACTCTTCAACTGTCAAGTTACAACTGCAGGATGTGGATTACGCAGCTGCCATGGTGCTCGGTGCCATGAGAGAAGTGGGCTTGTCAGACTCCGACACTTTAGATTGGTTGGGCAAAACATTTGACTTGAGCAAAGCCTACAAGCAGCTTGCAGTCCTCCCGGAGCACCAGTTGCATGCGGTCGTAGGCTTCCCCAAAGGGGGCAAATGGCAGTTCTACAAAAGCATATCGCTCCCGTTTGGATGCACGGGTAGCGTGTACGGCTTCGTGCGCATTTCCCAAGCCTTGTGGTTTCTGCTGTCCAAGCTCTTGAAGGCCATAACGTCGCACTACTTCGATGACTTTCCCACCATTGAACGGTCTGAAGGTTGTCGGGTGTTGACCCTGGCGTTTAGTGCTCTTCTGGATTTGCTAGGTTGGGATCATGCCAAGGAGGGCGACAAGGCCTTGAACTTTGCAGCCGACTTTGATTTGCTTGGAGTCACGTTCAACCTCGGTGAAATGCGCTTGGGGACATTGACCATCAGCAACAAAAGGAGCCGGGTGGAGAAGCTGTGCGCCATGCTAGCTCAGGTGGAAAAGGAAGGGTGCATCACACCGGCCAAAGCTAGCGAACTACAAGGCCTTTTGAATTTTGCGGTGAGCTTCTATTTGGGAAGGAGTTTGAAGCATGTGGTTTCGGCATTCATGCCTTTCGCAGACCGATCTCGTGTCAACAACAAGGCTGACTTGGTGAACCTCTGCTCATACACGCGGGCGATGCTTTTGGACCAACGCCCGAGAGTGCACTCCGTTTTGAGTTGCAGCTCGCCGGTGGCCATATTCACTGACGGAGCCTGGGAAGGTGGTGAGGCTACAGCTGGTGCCGTCCTAATCGATGGTCAAACCCGCCTTGCCTTCAAAATCCTCGTGCCACGTGAATTGGTCGATCACTGGTTGCGATTTGCGGGTGACCAGATAATTTCTCAAGTAGAACTATGGGCCCTGGTATGTCTCAAATGGTCGCAGAAAGAGCGCCTCTTGAATCGAAGGGTCATCGAATGGATAGACAATGAAGCAGCACGGATTTCTGTCATCAAGGCCAACAGTAGCTCTCCAACCATGAGGTCGCTATCCAGAATCATGGCTGACATCGACTTGAAGTGGCCTACGTTTAGCTGGACTGAGAGAGTTTGCTCTTACTCGAATCCGGCCGACCTGCCGTCCAGAGATCGCATGCAAGAAGCCATGGAGAAGTATCACCTGGAAAATGGGGGCACTATTGAAGCCCCAGCCGAGCTGACGCAGCTCCTTATACAGCTGCACCAGCATCCCTACAATGCTGCTCACACAGAAGGGGGAACATCACTGAGCACCATTTCTTCGTGACAACTCACAGCCGTGAGATTCACGTTACCTATCAAGCAGATTTCAACAACTGCTTCTTTGGCATGCTTAGTGTCCGAAAGAACTTGACAAACTCCCCGGACCAACTGTCAAGCAGCAGCGGGAAAAAGGCAGATCATTTGCGACGTTCACTGACGGCTTCTCACAATCCATTTTTCCGAGAGTTGTTTTTCATTTGGCGACGACGTTGCGTATCGCACGAATTTTAACATGTCCAAGTATATACATATACAGATATGCTTATATATATACTTTCGTCTGTGATGTTTTGTTTGCGCTTAGTTTCGGTTCTGCTACGTTAAGTCCCTTCCCATATGTTTACCCGAGTTTGTTCTAGTATAAGATGAGTGCTGTCACGAAGTGAGAGCACTATCTTTAAAAGAACAGTGCAAAATTTTTCAAGAACAAAATTTTGCAACTCAGGGTAAACATCTTGGGTTCTCGTTTGGGGTCTTGCGTTCCATGCGTTTTGCAATCAAACGCCTTTTATTTTTGAACCGAATAACCTGCGCAATCAAAACAGAAACCTAAAACACAACTTTCCCTTGGTCACCAACATGAATCCATATTCATGTGACATTTTTCACATCAAGGGTGAGGTAGAGGAGGGTTAAAAAAACCTTCTTTTACAACCATCAATTTTCTTTCGGCCCACCCTCCCTTAACCCTATTTTTAGGGGGGGAACATCACTGAGCACCATTTCTTCGTGACAACTCACAGCCGTGAGATTCACGTTACCTATCAAGCAGATTTCAACAACTGCTTCTTTGGCATGCTTAGTGTCCGAAAGAACTTGACAAACTCCCCGGACCAACTGTCAAGCAGCAGCGGGAAAAAGGCAGATCATTTGCGACGTTCACTGACGGCTTCTCACAATCCATTTTTCCGAGAGTTGTTTTTTCATTTGGCGACGACGTTGCGTATCGCACGAATTTTAACATGTCCAAGTATATACATATACAGATATGCTTATATATATACTTTCGCCTGTGATGTTTTGTTTGCGCTTAGTTTCGGTTCTGCTACGTTAAGTCCCTTCCCATATGTTTACCCGAGTTTGTTCTAGTATAAGATAAGTAGGAACCGTCATGGCACTGAAGGCACGGTGGAACTTGGTGTTGAGGTTGTTGGTTGACAACGGACTGAGAGAGAAAGAACAGGCAAACACAGTCTGTTTGGGAATGTTGGTTTTGATTCTCAGATGCATCAGGTAGCATTCGTGGTTTTGAGCGGCAGTTGTGGATGTGTTTGATTGGAACATGTATTGAGTCATTGGAGACGGCCTGGACTGTGTAGGAAGTGGAAACTGTTTGATGAAACTTGAAACGAAACGGAAACCTTTATTGTGAGTTTGTGTTCATGTTTTGTTTGACTTGGAACTTGTACAGTTACTGATTGTCCCAGGCAGGTCAGGAATGACTTTTGTTGCTCAGATTGTTGCAGTTTGTTTTAGTGAAACCTGGAACGAATGTAGTCGTAAAGACTGGGACAGATGCAGAGAAGGTACATTGAACCCTGAGACAGGCAGGTACTCTGAAGTTGTTGTCATACTGACTGAACTTTGTGTGAAGATAACCTGAATGGAAGTTTTTCTCTTTTGGCTTAGAGCGGCTATACCGTAGTATATCTCTCGAAGTGAATGACTGAGTATGGAGACATCTGCAAGTCAATCTTGGCTGTGAAATGGCCTTGACAGTCTTTGTGATGATGATTGCCAGCGTCATTTGCCTACGTTGGGCGTGGCACTTTCTTTGGTAGTGATGGAGTTTACGGACAAGATGGATTTGGTGTTGTTGACCCTGGAGGGTTTCCCTTGAGAACCTTGGGCCATGTTGGTTGGACATCTTGTACTACCAGACTTTGCAGAGTATCCTGAGAGAGGAGTAGAACGGTAGTGTAGTTTTGCGTTGGCGTGTGGCTCAGAGTGAAAAGCAAAAGAGGGAATCTGGGATTTGAGATTTGCAATTTGAATTGAACTTGAGCATGGCGGACGAAGTCATCGGAAAATTGTGACGATTCGTGCCATGAGAGAGACATGGATTTGAAGAATTCTGGAACATGTCACTGGTTGAGCAAGCAGGAAACGAAACGTGGGAAACCAGAGTGATGTGTTTCGTTGATAGTTTTGACATACAACAAATGAGAATGAACTGGATGGCAAAGGAGTTGCATAGGTTCAGATAGGAGCTGGATGGCAGAGGCGCTGCATAGGTTCCAAAATAAGTTACAAAAGGGTTGTATGAAGTCAAAGCATGGACCAGATTGCAAGACGTTGCAAGGTTCATACATGAGCTGGGTTGCAGACGTGCATAGGCTCAGGTTCAGTGAAACTGACTAGAAGATATACAATGTGATGTCAGTTTGTTGCTCGACATACTGTCTAAGTGAGAGACGAAGTATGGAGCTGTGTGTTTTTGTTGAACTTGACTTGACTGCATGTTTAGACTTCTCATGTTTGTACATGTTTCATTCCGTTTTGCTGCACTAATATAAGACGACTTTTGGCTCAGTGTTTTGTATACCGAATTTCCCTGAAGACCGTCGCTTCAAGATCCTGAAATGGAGTCTATTCGTTTGTGGTTGGCCTTGACCCCAAAGCAATTTGATGACCTGAACAATGGCAGCCTGATGAATATTCCAAACGCTTTGGACGACGAAAAGACCCGATTGGTGCCGTTGAGCTTGCACAGTATTTCAATGATTGGACACCAGAAGGTCCCAAAGGTGAATTCTGTGCCAAGGACTATGCACTGGTTGAGGTCGAGCTGACTGCCATCGGCTATCTCCAGAAGGCCGAGGCAGGCATCCTTCTGAAGTATAAACCCAACGAATATCGTTGGCAAGGAACCATGAAGGCTTTGGAGTTCGACGAGAATGGCAACCTCCTGTACAAGTTTGGATCGGAAGCCATGAAAATTGTTTAAGGGGCTTGTAGCATAGATTGCTGTTTATAGATTTTGATTCATTTGCGAGCTGGGTTGTAACACTAAGCTCTGGCAAGGACGATCGGCAGTTGCAGTGTAAAATACAAAATGCTGTGCAGAGAGCTGTCAAGCTGAGACCGGAGTGGATTTGTAGTTTTGAGATGTCTTGGAAATTTTTGTTGACATGCTCATTGTCATTGTGAAATTTCAGAGTTTTGGACGATTTCGGACTGGACAGAATTTGGACTTGTGAAGCCGAGTATGATCAGTTTTGATTTCAGCTGTCATGTGGTTTGCAATAGTTTCATTTTTGCTGCATGACATGTCTATGGGTTTCATACGCGTGGAGACCAGTGTGATCTGTTTTGCAGTCATGTGAAAGATTGCACACCTGTTGACAGTTGGATGTGAATGGATTTTTGCAAGTTGCCACAAGTCTGCATTATTTCGTTTTGTCTGAGACATTGAAATGTAGCTGACTACACATTGCCTATCAAGATGCGCGGCACGCATCTTGGGGTAATAGTGAGTGTGGTCTGCGTTGGAAGTGTGAGTCATCTATTAAGGTGTGAGGCACACACCTTAGGATGAGAGAGAAAGAGAGATTCTTGTTCTTTTTGATTGAATGAGTTGTGACATCGTATGGCATGAGCATGATGAGTTGCTGGAATGCATAGTATGCCCAAGCTGTACATATGCCCGGGATTGTCAGAAAGGGTGCACCTCGCCCTCACTCGCCGCCTAGAAAGCTTGCTTCATAGGGCGCGCCCGTGAGTCTATACGGTGCTATGTGTTGGGTGGGTGGGTGGGGACTTCGTGCGTTGGGGTACCACGTTCTTGGGCAATGGATTCGTGGACAACTTACTTTGTAGCGATTGGGTTCACTGCTGTTGGTGCTGAACATTTCTTTATTATTTTGACTGCTGAATTTCACTGTTGATCTGTGCGATTTCAGGATGAAGGTTTTTCCAGATATTTGCCTTGGAAGAGTGTTGACGATTTCGATCAGTTGCACCTTTTACGTTTTTTTTTGATGACTGGTGATGGTTCAACTTTATTTGATGGGCAATTGGAACTCCGTTTATTTCTTCCAACGTTGTGAACTTGCTTATGTCGTTTCCTTCACATGGACTACTCCTGTGTGGTAGTGGCCACTTGGATTCGCTCTGTATTCCTCGAGAAGCTCAGGCTCCAAGTTTTTCAGATAGGTAGGGGCGCGTTGCTTCCAATCTTGATTGGACGGCTTAGCCCATGGGTTGCCATGGCGCTGGATTGGCCACAACTTGGCCAGGACTTCGTGGTTTGTTTTCAGAAACATTTCAAGTCACCTTTGCATTTAGATGCTGCGTTTGACACTGATTTGGAGTCGGCAGAACTTGTTCAGGCAATTTTCCCTGATATGGTGGCTGAGGAAGTCATGGATTTAGTTGCAATCTTGATGGTTTGGAAAGAAAGCAATGTCAGGTCTTTCAAACGTGCAAGGCTTCAGGTTGTGGAGCAGGCCATGGTCGTGCCCTTACAGACACATGGGTGTTCAGTGCAGGATGCATACAAGCGTTTGGTTCAGACCAATGTGGTTTCTTTGATTGAAGCGCATACCAAGAGACGTCAGAAAGTTTTGAGGCTGGATGCTGAGTCACGTTCCAAACGTTCAGACGTAGAACGCAAGAAGTACACACTTCTTTTGTCACAAGTGATCATGGATGCTGGCTTACCTGTGGTTTCTTTGATTCAGACGTTGGATGACCCACAGCAGGGGTGGCTTCACTTGTTTGGGACGAGGAGGTGCAACACTTTGAAGAATCGTTTCAAAGCTTGGAGGCCTTTTGCAGTCTGGTTGGAGCTTCATTTCGGTAGGAAGTTTCCTGTTCAGTTGAAGGACATTATCGATTACATGCAGCACCGCATTGATGAGGGTTGTGGGAAAAGTGTCCCTGAAAGTTTTCATATTTCTTTGTCATTGATTGAACAGTTGGGCCGTGTTCCAGAGGGTGAACGCCTTTCAGATGAGCAGCTCTGGAAGTCACATGTGCGGGCCTGGACAGCTGAACTTGCAG